AAACTACTGGGACATCCGGTTGCGCATGCAGCCAGAATCTTCTAACCTTGACCAGCATCCATTTAGCCACAAACCCGCGATTCTTTAGACACGACTCCTCTCCCCCTAGTCCTGTTTTTAACCTTTCTCTTAACAGTCGCACAAGCTTTAGTTACTGTTTCCCATTCATATGTGAACTTGGTTCATGAGATTTGGATAAGATAATATATCGTGAATAATGAACATCGTTCAAGAAAGACACATTCGAGATTTTTATTCACTATCTCTGATTTTTTTCTGCAGTCTCGTCATGCGGCATTTGATTCATCGGTATTGAGGCTATAAAAACTCACGAAGATAGGTGATCGTTATATTTGTTGTATCTTGCTTACCATTGCACTCATCTGCAATATGGAGAACGTTAAGTCGGATGGACAGAAACGGCCCTATCGCTTCACCAGTGCGGAAGATCGACGGAGAGTAATTGAATGTGCACGCAGAGGTGATGATTTGAAAGAAGTTGCAAAACATTTCGGCATCAAGATCAAAGCACACCTCATTTATTAGTCAAGCTTTGCAATATGAAAATTTGTAAAATATGAATTTTTTCAACATTCGTCGACCTCAGAATATACCGATAGTTTTTGTTCTGACTCGCCTACGGCGGTGTGACCAAAGGTTGTGCGTCGAGGCTAAAGGACTGCGGGTCGTGGCTAAAGCATTGCGGGTTTTGGCTAAAGGAATGCAGGTCAAGGCTAAAGGATTGCGGGTTTTGGCTAAAGCTTGATGAGAAAAGGTGTAGATGGTAATTTTCCTCCACGAAGACCAAGGTGTTTCAGAATATGTTCACATATTCTGGTTGGTAAGTGACTTTCTGTCCTTCCCATATACCGCTGACCGCAAGTACATTAAAATGAATAGATGCAGTTGGAGGTAACACAAATGTCTTTTCGTCTTCGTTCGACATGATCATATAAATGTGCCTTGTACAGCTGAATGAGAGCACGCGAACGTGGCGATCAATATCAATTCTGCTCACATGTGTCTTCTCGTGTTGATGAAATGGATGAAGAGAGAAGAATGTTTCACATAATCGTCATCGTCCAGGTATGTAAACAATTACGGATAAGGGCTTCAGGCACACACACAACTGAATATAAAAGTGTCCCAAAAACGACTCGTATTGACGATAAAAGCGAGGAGAGACACGGTCTTGGATAACAGAAGACCATTTTTCCGTCACACAAGGTTGATCAGACCTGATAGCAGTTCGCACGTGGATAGAAACTAATTAGAAAAGTTATCGGAATCGTTATCCGAATTATATGCAACTTCATAAATTATTCGAAACTCATTTCTGTTTGTACAGTACTTAGATTCCACCGGAAAAAATTGCTATGATACGTGCAAAATGTCACTGATCTAGATGTATTATTTCGCGTATTAGGATGAAGATTGATTGACTGAACTAGGGATCACACATGCGGCAGGGCATCAGTGATTTAATTGGATACAGCCTGGGGATAAATAGAATCAAGTCAAATGCAAATAAGTTATAGGAATGGGAATGGATGAAGATAACTTGGAATGTTTGGAGAGGGATATTTTCTATGGTGAATTCCTTTTCAGGTTACGCAACCACCTTGTCCTTGTGCATTCCGAGTGACTGACTACCCCGGGCAGTCTCCTTATGCCATTTGTTGTTGTTGTTGTTGGTGGTGGTGGTGGTGGTGGCAGTAGTGCTGGTAGAACGCTGGGGTTTCGTACGCAAGCATAGAGAATAATTTGCTTCTCACAAACAAAAATCCCCTCATTCACACCAACCTAGTGATCTCGTGTCACAACAGTGCCAAACTGTTTTACGCTCATGAAGAACGCGATCGAAAGGTTTTGTATTCGCAGACTTATGTGGAACGACTGGAATCACTGCTGCTGTACTCCCACACAGTGTCACCGAATTCGAGGGGACTTGATTTTGGTGTATACAGAACGCTGATCACCCACTCATGTCGTTCACTCTTGGTCTTGTCGCCCAACACTCAACTGGGATGGGGGGGCACGTATTCAAATTAGTGCTCAAAAAATCTCGACTATAGAATGTCAGCGGCATGCTATCACCTGCACAGTGTGCAGCACTTGAAATTCTCTCTAACACCACACGTTGTTTCTGCGCCCACAATCGACTCGTTCAAGCACAAACTGGATGCAGCTTTGATGAGTCCCGAAATTCAACATCCTTAGCCGTGCACGATACAAGGATAAATTTGGACATTCATCCACTTTCTATGAACGAGGGGCCAATTGATCTGTGCTCAGCCCTATTTGGACTAGAAATACAAACACTTGTAAGTATATCCCGTAGTAAAACTTTGACGCTGACTTTTACCTTTCGGTGCCGTTTAGGAATCAATCAATATTTGGTCATTCTGTCAAAAATTTGGCATATTTAAGAAGAAATGATGAGAATACTTCAACAATAACCAAAAGCATACTTTGGTTGTGCTCATTCAGTTTCGTATAGTTCGCCTTTGTTTCCGTTAAAAGGAAGGTATTGAATCTAATGTAAATGTTTTGCCCATATACGCATCGTACATTAATTGTATCATACTTGCACTCAGTGTTTCATTCTGCCAAACGAAAAGGATGGGAACTTACCTAATCTTTTTGGATAATCCGGGACATCACTGACTGATATGCTTTTATTATTATGTAAATACTTGTTTACCATTTCCGGTTTAAAAAGCTGTTGATATCAAAATCTATCGTGATTACAAGAAGTTCACTAGCCTCGGGTGGGATTCAAACCCACGC